ACCTGCCTTTACATATCGGCATATCGGCACATATCACATTAATAATTCTGTGAAAATTACCATGTTTGAATAAAAGGTTTTTATATTTCATAAATGTTAGTTGTAATAAGATTTTTACTTATTTTGACTATACTATACAGCGACGGATGTCTTTTTTTGCTTATACTATGGAGCTGACCGATCTAAATGGGTGATAAATGATATAATTATTAAGGCACTGATAGACAGGCGGATCGAATGCGGTTCAACATTAGATATTACACGGTATGTCATGTCTTGATATCAAAGTCGCTTCGATGGAGCTTAGCGTCAGTCGTGATGAAGAGATTTTGTTGATTGAGTTTTTTTATATTGATTAGTAAGGGCACTTATACACTGCTACATTTTTTTTAATAAAGAAGAAATATTGAACCACTTTATGTAATTCTTGTGTCTTTTTTAATCAACCGCATAAAACGAAAATTATAGTTTACACATTGTACACTGTGAACTAACAATTTTAGATTTTACAAAAAAAAAAAATTACAAAGCTATGAAAAGTATTAATAACTTTTCACTGCCTTGTTAGTAATTTTGAAAATTTAAGTCTCATTTGCCTTTTATCTCGCAATATAATCTTTTTTTCAATATCGCGAGTGTTGGATGTGATATATATACTATAATATTATAAAGAGGAAAGACTTGATTTTTTGTTTGCTTTTGTGTTTGTTTGTCTGTCTATTTGCATCGAATAGATTCCGATAGTAAACAACTGATTAAAGAAATTCTTCGCGGAGCTATAATTAACGCGTGCGAAGGCGCAGGAAAATAGCTAATTTAATATAATTTTTATAAAACATAAAAACTTTTTTTCTTCTCTATCACCATTGGCTATCTGGAAGCGATTGCTGTATAGCAATTAGGCCGCCTTTTTGTATACTATTTGATATAATATTTTTTTTGTAATGTGTCCTATACGTATATTTTAGATAAATGATATTTATTATTATTAATATAATGTTTTTCTCATTTTTACATTTTATCTGTAATTCATTTCTTTTGTTAATAATCAATTTGATACTCTTGATTCATATCAAACCTCTTTACTCGTGTTTAGTTCTTATTTCTACATTTAAAAGACAATTTTCATAAATAAAACTGCGTAATTATATGCCATAAAGTATTTACGCCGTCAAACAATATTATTTATATCGGCTTTTAATACGATTATGCTAATTTTGATACATTCATTTTATTTACCGTAATTGGAAAACAATTTACATAAACATGCGTCGCTTATGCAGTAGTTCTATTTAATCTATTTGTAATAGATAATTGTGGCATAATAGAATAAAAAAAAAGGTTATTGATTTAAGGTTATTAAGACACGTGTTAAAAGTAAATAGAATTTTAAGTCGAGCACATATTTATAGCCTTTTGAAATAGGTTTTATTGGATTGAAGCGCTATCGCTGTTACAGCTCTTTGTATGCTGTATTTTTATTAAAATAGCACTATTTTATTAAAGAAAGGATTTGTTGTTCCATAGACAATTATTATCACGCAGTGTAGGCGTTACGTACTTGTTTTTATGTATAGTTAATGTTAACGTAATGTCGCATTTTATAAAATTCTTTTTAGTTATTCGCATACTCAAAAAGTATTTTAATTAAAAACAAAATCAGTCGGAAACGGTGGGTTGTGTGAGTGTGAAAAGTGAGTTGGTGGATCTACTTTCGAATTTAATGATCTGAAACATTTTTTTTAAAGATATTTGATGCATTTCTTTTTAGATTTTTAAGCTTTTTTTTTTACTATTTAGTTTTTAACACAACTCGCTAAATCAGTTTTTTTTACAATTCCAAAAATTATATACATACGGTTTAAATTAAAATTCTGTAACATTGAAGTGTGATTTAGTTAATATCTTGTTAATTTTTAAAGGAGACCGAATTTCTTGGTTTAGAAATTAACTCTTCCACTCTCGAGGAATTTGAAAACCGGCTTTTAGAATAACTCTTACTGAAAAAAGTTACTTACGCCTGTTTTACTAAGCTAGAAGGCATAGCTTAACGAAATCACTTAATATTAAGAATAGCTTATGCAGATTTGTTGTTTCACCAAACGTTAGGTAATGCCTTACTAAGCATTTTGTCTATGAATTGTTTCTGTTCTTTTTTTTTTATGTATTGCCTATTTTGCGTTTACACAATCCCTCCAATGTCACGTTAGACACCTTTACACGTAAAGAGACAATAACAAAAATATATATTTTGAGGTAATAACACAAGAAAAAGATGATGCATGAGTATGAATGAGCATTAAAGTCATCATTGTAAATAAAAAAAGTCCAAAATTCGAAAAATCTCATTGCTTATATCTTCATTATCTATGTTAATTCAAATATATAAACTAAATTAATTATATCCCTTGCCACATCCATTAAAGATTTCTTAATGAATGTATCTGCCACATTACCCAAATGCTCAGTGCTAGGCGCCGCATAATGCATGCCGTAACTTTAAGCTTTGCTTTTACCCTAGACAATGCCCAAATACGAGGGTCAAACTGAAAGTTCTTAGAACTGGCCACTTATAAACAATATAATAAAAAAATAATTCTAAAATTTGAAAATATAACTCTTTGCCAATATTACTGAGTATATATTTCATTCATTTGTCATTTGTTTTACGATTTGGCGGCAAATTGAAAATTGTCTGTGTCACGTCATCATGAATTTAACACGAGAAAATTTTCGTGCAATGATTTTTTATGACTTTCGATGTCATTTAAGTCAACAAGAAAGTTATGATAGACTACGATTGGCCTTTCACGATGAAGCCCCATCTCGTGCGACTGTTTACAACTGGTTTAATGAGTTTAAACGTGGTCGCACTAATCTCACTGATGATTTACGTGAGGGACGGCCTTCTACGGCGACGACTGAAGATAACATCTGTGTTGTGCGGCGTATGATAGAGACTGACAAAAGAGTGACCTATCAACAGATTCGGACAAGCTTAGGCATCGGTATGAGTCAAGTGCACAAAATCCTCCACGAACATTTAGCGGTCAGGAAGCTTTGCGCCCGGTGGATACCTCATAATTTGACTGAGGCTCAAAAACTCCATCGTGTGGATTGGTGTCGTAAAATGATTGAAAGATTTAACGGAGGTGACTCAAATGCTGTGTTCGACATACTAACAGGTGACGAAAGCTGGATTTACTGTTATGATCCTAAAATCAAAAGACAATCTGCTCAGTGGGTGTTTCCTTTCGAGGAGTTGCCAACTAAAGTGAAGAGAGATCGAAGTGCGGGAAAAAAAATGGTGGCCTCGTTCTTTGGAAGGATAGGTCATTTTGCAACAATTGTGTTAGAGGATCAAAAAACAGTTTCTGCAGAATGGTACACTACCAATTGTTTGCCACTTGTCTTGGAAAAAGTTCGAGAGAAACGACCTCGCAGTAGGATCCTCCTTCACCACGACAACGCCTCGTCGCACACCGCCAAGCGAACGATCGACTATTTGGCGACATCAAACGTTGAATTACTGGGTCACCCGCCGTATAGCCCCGACCTCGCGCCTTGTGATTTTTATTTATTTCCAAAAATTAAAGAAAAACTTAAAGGAAAGCGGTTTATGAATGCTGAAGAAGCGGTGGCTGCGTATCGCGATGCTATTGAAGAGACCCCTAAGGACGAGTGGGCAAAGTGCTTTTCCCAGTGGTTCCATCGCATGCAGCGGTGTATTGACGTGAATGGACAATATTTTGAAAAGATATAATAAAACTAATAACTGGCTAATGTAATCAGTTTTTGATTTTCTAAGAACTTTCAGTGTACCCTCGTATTAAGGTATCGGATTTGGGCAACGCCTAAGTTTAGCGAAAAAGGGTATTAGTAGTTGTTCAACTGTTAGTTGCCGCTTCATTTTCAATGAAACCTTATGTATTATCAAGAAGAGATGGCAATGGCACCCACTCCTAAAGTAAAAGCAATCTCAAATACATGGTCAAATTAAAAGTAAAACTAACTATTAGCAATAAGGATGATTATTGGGTAAAAAAAATCTATTTAGTATCAGACAATAGAAAAAAAAAATCTTTATTTTGGTACAAACATTTCAATTAAGTGGCATCTTTTAATAAAGCTAGAAAGACAAATAGTAAAAATAAAAGACAAAGAAAAAAATTAGATTGTTTTTTTCTGCTAAGTATCTCAATTCAATCCTAACATCATAATAAACCTTAGAAAAAATATACAATTTTGATTCAGTCAGTATGTGTTGTTGTACATATCCTAAAATTTTCATTTTCGTATTTCGCGCGAATTGGACGAAAATGCTGGACGCCATGTTGCTCTGTAGTTGTTATGTCACTTGGTTTTGTAAACAAACGTGTTTGTATTGGTTCCTTATATTTTTATCATATTTAAATAGTTGGAAAAAGATACCTGTACTTACATCAATGTTAAGCTTTCCGATGATAAGTGTATAAGTATATACTATCGATAAATTTGTGCGATCTTCCATTTATTAAAATTACTTTTTTATTTCATCATTGGAATATTTAAAAAACATAACCAATAAAACTATTTATCTTGCTTGAAATTTATTTTTCTTGTTTGTTTACAAAGCGAATGACATCATATCTGGTTATTAGTTCGCATAATAAAAAGTTTTGAAAACTTTGATTTGAATTTAAATAAATAATTTCTTTATTATATGAACAAAGACTAACTGTCTCTTTTGTATATTTTTTTCTAGTGATGACTAAATGGCTTAGATAATAGCCATTAAAATATACAAAAGTGTGACGTTATGCGACACTTCAACTTAATTTGTCGCCGTAATTTTATTAAGCTATAAAAACACAAATTCGTGTTTAATATTCTTTACTAACCTATGCGATGGACAGACAAACAAACATTATACATAGTCCCTATTTTCGTGGAAATGAAATATTACGGCAAAATGGTCATTGACTTAACTAACATTGTTATTGACTAATACGGAATATGGGATGCATTTAGGGTGAGATTGATTATTTGTTTGTGTGCATATCCCATTTATCGCTAAAATGGCTTGTACGATTTAGATACGGTTTTATGTGAAATGTTTGTGATTTATCGATAGTGCTTGCTACATTGTTTACTCAATAGTTGGTGGGTTGCTTTAAATATTTTGTTGCAAACGACCTTTTTCATTAACGGCCGTAATGATTAAGGCACGATTTTCTGTAATTTATTTTGGTCTACTTTTTAATACACTTCGATATTCGTTTGACATGTGTTATCATATTTAAGAAAACCGTCTTTAGGTCCTGAGACTGACGAATTTTTGAACTGTCTATGCTAATAATGTAAATATATAAATAAATATAAGACAATATACACTGCTCAGACACATAGATCAGTAGCTAAAGCTCCCGTATTATGGAGTATCTGAGACAACGAAGGTCTCAGATAATAGTTTTTTTTTTGCATTGGATGGTCTCCGAATCGCTTTTACAAATTCTTTCACCTACGATAAACCACAATCGATTTTAATGCGATTTTTTTAATAGATAAAGTGCTTCAAATTTTTTTTTTTTTTATTTATAATACCACGAGGGCGAAGTCGCTGGCAGAAAGCTAGTAGACTATAATTTACGCGATCGAAGTCGCGGAAAAACATCTAGGTTCTCTATAATATGTATGCACAATTTATCAAATAGCTCTATTAGGTGTAGTATTATCTCGGTGGTGTAGTGGATAAGCGCCGCGGCACGCGATCGTTGTCGTTAAGCAACTTTTGCAAGGGTCGGTCACGGGATGGGTGACCAAAAAATTATTATCTCGAGCTACTCCATGCTTCGGAAGCGACGTTAAGCCGTTGGTCCTGGCTGCATTTGTAGTCGTTAATACCAGTCAAACGCATTAGGCCAGTGTGAAGGGTCATGGCCCATGCTTCTTAACCATCCTTAAGTAAGGCCTGAGCCCCTGCAATGGGGACGCAATAAAAGGCTGATAATGATGATGATGATGAGGTGTATATTAGTTCGTGTTTAAACATTAAAAACAAAAAAGTATGAAATTAAGTTAATGCCAAACATGTATTGTACCTTTCCCAAAGTCAGTCTATATTATAATCAATAGAATACGACAGATGCTAAAGTTTTGTGTGTAAACTATTATTATAACATATCCGTTTTGTCCGTCAGTTTGTTTTATTAGAACACGTTTAGTTAAATGGTCGCACCTAGTTAAGCGCTGTTTATGTGACTTAAAACGTTTTCGTGGGCAGTAAATTAAATATGGCGGCACGGCAGTGATAAAGGGAAATGCGTGAGTGGGTGAGAACATATTATGTTCTCATAAAACGTATGTAAATATTTTGATTTCGAACTCTTATTTGGCTTATCAATAAGCTAGCAGCTCGCCCCCGACATTTTCCGGTATTCACTAAGATACCTGTCTCATAATTATAATTGAAACCGAGTAAAGCTACTCTAAATTGGAGTTTTGCGTAGTTTCAATTGAAGTTTCTTTAATTTTTTTTTAAATGTAAATACTGATGATCTAAATTACTGGACTGTTGTGATGAAATTTGATATTTTTAATATGACCGCCCTTTCATAAGAAAACAAAACTCTAAAATACATATATATTTGTAGTTTTCATAAAAATGAAGTACTCATAGAGTTTAGACCTTATGAAAAATAGAAAATAGAAAAAAAACATGCACAAGTAGTTTCTTATCCATTAATTGTTTAATATTTTTTCCTATAAAATAACAAATAGCATACTTAATCCATAAAGGCATTCTATACCAGTTAAACTGGTTAAAATTTACAGTTTTTAATAAATTAATCATAAGAAAACATATAGATATCCATGAATTTTTGAATCTATGTTTATATCCCTTGGTATGCGATACCGATTCGCTTATGGTTGGTTTTTCGTTTCATCCACTGTGTTTGCATTAAAAAAATGATCTTAATTTTTTGTATTAAGGTTCCTTTTTTCTTGCAGGTTAGATACGAGGGAAGGCAGACCATCCCACTGGTCTGACGCCAACACTCTGGGGGTTAGAGCCAGCTTCAGAAGCGATACCACTCCTGCGGTGCTCGTCTTAACTAAATTGCGGTTAGTCTGAGTTCTCTTGACCTACCCGGTGTAATATCGCTATATTAGCACTTTTGGAATGTCTAATTTTTGTAACATCTCAGGATTCGGCCTGCCGGATCCTCGAGTAGGACCTATAAAATAAGGATAATGCCAAGATAAAAAAAGTAATTCTATTTAAATTAGTCAGATAATAAATATATATACTTTTTGTGTCAATTTAAGACGAAATCGCTTAAATAATAGACATTTAAAGTAGAGAAGTGGGAAGAGGCTGACTACGTCACAACTACGTCTAAGTGAAAAATATACAAAGGCGTGACTCAATCTTTCACCATAATTTATTGATTATTATTTTTTTATTGATGTATTTCTAATCCACGCTCATACAATTTTTAAATATTGTATACTAAAAGTCGTATTTAAATATATATTTTATTATATAAAGTCAAATGCACATAGAGTTATACAAATCTGTAAATTTTTTCAATATTTTTTTCAAATTTATATTTCAAAACCGTTATAATACTCGTACACACATACTCTACTAGTTAAAGGGATGAGTACTTACTATTTTTCAACGTCTGGCTTATTTCGTGTCCTTTTTTTTTATTTAAATCCGGATATTTCGATACACGGTTCTGGCAATATTATCTAGGGAGTATGGGGTGGATTTAGGGTATTACCTGTTTTGGTCGTAACACCCTGTAATCGAGTTTTTAATAAAGTTTTATTTATGGAACGTTAAAGTAGAACGTCACGGCTACTTAGCGATACGGTAATTTGTAATTACTTAGGCCATCTTAAGAACTCGAACAACTTTTTAATTTTGACTAATGAAATTTTACACATAAAATTAATCAAACGAAAATTATATATTACTTAATCAATAATTGATGTATTGAGTCGCTAAAACCAAATGAAAATTTTCATTGAGAAATTAAAAAACAATAAATTAGGACATGAAAACCATCAGTTGACTTTCAATTAAGTCGAGATCAGGCTAGTCAATGAGACAGATAGGGACAGAGTATAACTTACTGCGCGCAATAAAGCAGCAACAAAAAATAAATATGAAACCGACTTCCATCTATATCTATAACATTTAAAAATGATACTCTTATCAGTGGAATTATTTCTCCTAAGTACGACACGACGCTTACTTTTTTATCACTAGTTCAAAGTAGCTGCGTCTAGTCTTTTTCTTCCACTTTTCCCTTCTATATTGCCTTCTAAGATATTTTTAATAAGCTAACGTGTCGCAACAAGTGTTCTATTATCTTTTTCCTACTATTTTCTCATTTTTATTTACAGTTTATTTGAACTTTATAACTTCAATTATTATTTATTATTATTAGTATTTATTATTTTAATTTTTATTAGCTTGTTAATGTCGCAACTACTAGAGTACAAGCGAATCAAATTTCAATGATTACTTTCAAGTCCCCGGGTACCACTCCCAATGCTATACGGATATGCTCAAGATTTTTAGTGGATAGGCTTCCACCCTTTAACCTGCCCAGTGGACCAATTAGTTGGCCCGTTAGCGGAGAAAAGTCTCAAACGGCAGAGATAGTTCGTAACACCAGTTTTCCTCGGAGCAAAAATAGGCTATAACTGCATGCCCAGTGTAAGTTGACCGAGACCAACGACTTAACACCTATCCTATGACCAGCCATCTTTGGTCTCATCTCTGATCATGTCACCTCTGATCGACCCCTCATTATGAACGGCTTTCACTAAAGTTGTTTCACACAATTCGTCTCTAAAACGTTCTTTATAGATAAATAAATATTTAGCATCACTTTGGTATATTTAGATCGAGACGAAAAAATTCGAGCTAAGTCTTTGACGTATAACGATAGTCTCCTACTATTGTAACAAAGACTATAAAACCATTTCAGATCAAAGATTTTTGGCATTCTACCAATTTGTACGACGCTTGCTCAATCGCTCTCTCTATATGTACATTTTTTTATTCGTTCAATTCATGTTACTCGATAGTTGAGAATCCTTTTGCAAGATTAAACCGTATTGGAAACGAGACACAATAGAATGGTCAAAATATCAAAGCAAATCAATATTTGCTCGGAATCAATATGTTTCAAGAATTCCATACAATTTTAGCAAGCATCGTTGATTCACATTTATGACAATAGATTCTATTATGAATCTATTAAATAAAAGCGGAACCTTTATTGGTATCTGTTATTGACCTGTATGACTGTGATGCATAGCGGATTTTTTATTCAAAAACCACTGGACCTAACTACTTGAGTCTTAATTCATAACCCACCAAGTAAGCCCAGAGCGGATCGGTGGATGTGAACAACTGCAGATGCAGCGAGTATCAACGACTTAACGTGTTTTCCGGATCACAGAAGAGTTCGAAAGGTGCTTTCGCACTCTTCTTTCTTAAACTTCCGCATCAGAAAACCCCTAGGACTTAATGATTCTATTTCGTTACAGACCCGAAGACAGCGGTCAATACCGGTGTAGAGTGGACTTCATCAAATCACCAACGAAGAACACCAGACTGAATCTAACCGTTCTTAGTAAGTAATAAATAAGGAAAATTATTAATATAGTGAAACATAATAACAATTTTAACATTTTCTTCCGAGATAACAGTGGGAGTAGTCAGTTATTATCCCTATTCAATGTATTTTAAGTACAAAAACGTTAAATTGATAATCCATAATTGCGGTGATAGTCTAAAAACTGTTTAAGTCTTTCCTTACTTATATTAGCAAATAGCAGCTATATTTTAGTTGTAGACGGAACTTTCTTATCTTATCGGCACAACCCTAAAACACTTTCCAAAGAAAAAAGGAACTTATACGTATAGTAGGGGAATAATTCTTGCGGGCCCAGACGTGTGATTCTGTAAACGCATTTCGAACATAGGAAAGCTTAAACCGCGGTGAGATTCTTGTTTCGTATTCTGTATAACTCTGAGTGAATTGAACTAAGTGAGATTTGGACGTTAATCAAACCAGCCACTATTTTCTTGATTTCCTCTAAAACTGGCATTGATATCATGACTATTTGGCCACTAAACACCTAAGCATTTCTTTTATTTAATTGTCTTTTCAAGCTTTAATAATGCATAATGTAGATTAAACAATTTTATTCATGTATTTTAGTGTAGAATATTCTCTTGGTTTCTTTTTTTGTACAAAAATACAAAACGAGATAAAGTGATTCATACAATACTCAGATATTTACTTTCTCTGTCATTTCGAAACATTTCAAATCATTTTTCACTTCACTTATGCCACGATAGAGAATACCAATTCAAGATTAATCTTTTGAAGTGAATTCTATCACGATTTGATCGATGAATGAATTCGAATTCGGGTTCGAATTTTTACGAAATCGCACTGCAGAACTTGATTTATCTGACCTATTTGATCGTATCTGCTTTGGAAGTGTGGCTAGATAAGTTTAGGGGCGTACTAGATATTTAGTTAGATACGTGTCGATGACGTAAACTTTAAAAAAATATTGCTGAGACTCTCTGGCGGAGGAGCTCGATGGTGCAGGGATTGGCACGTTCGGTTCTTACGTTAAGCAGCTATTACAAGGGCTGGTCATAGAATGGGTGACTTATTTAAAATTATCACCTATAAAATTTGAAAAATTGTTTTTTTTTAATTTCGCTTTTTACCTTTAAATACACTATTATTCATATCTATAGTAGAGTAGAAGTAGTTAAGTGAAAATAATCACTTAAGCAAATAGTTCTAACAACTAAACAAGAATTTTAATAAGAACACTCAAAAGTTAAAATACTGTTGCTATTGACAGTTCTTACGTTATTCAAACTATCGTTTTTTTTTTAATTTATGTGGCTTTCTTTCTAAATGGAGGTCAAATTTTTGTCAGATATTTGCCCTACAATCACGCTAGCGCCGCCTAGCGTGAGCAAAATCAGACATCGCTGCCATTCAAATATTTTGCTCAACAGTTCCACCAGAGAGGCTGATTATCTTGAATCAGGAGGGCAACGAGATTAGATCAGGTGTCGTGGGCCCATACGACGAGGGCTCAGAAGTCAACCTCACTTGCGTCGCCATTGGTGGTAAGTTTTTTTTTTATTACCGACGAATTGTGACAGTCAAAATGCTCCTCACGTGGTAATGTTTTAATAAAAGTTTCCAAAAAAAAACTTAAAAATTCTATGTAAAATTACTACAAAAGGCAAATTTTGGTTTTTTGCAGCTTTGAATATAACTATTAATAGTATTGAGAGATCGTGAAAAAATTTGCGAGTTATCTTTTACAGCAGCTTTCTAATAGCTCGATATTTCAGTATGTTGAAGTACTGAGGGTATAGTAACTAGTACCCAATGCAGAGGTCAGTTGCTAGAACAACTGAAGGCGGCGGGGTAATGTAGTACGAAAAGTCGTAACTCATATTAAAGGTGCTTTTTAATAGTTTAAAATTAGCAAATATATTAACTGCTTAGATTGTGTGATAGTGACACAATCATGAAACACGGCGAAACCAAATCTTCGATGATGAGCTCCGAAAAACGGAGTTTCATAAAAGTTGAAAGTTAATATTTATTACTTAATTAGTAATTAGTTTGTAAAAAAATACTCAGACTTTCATTTAACGAAACAAATATCAGCAATTGCTGCAAGTTACTTACATGCACTGAAATATCAAGGTTTAGAAGGTTGTTGCATATTTTTGTCACGAGCGCTTCATCCATAACACATTAAATATTAAAATAATATGGTCTCAGTAACGTCTAGTCTATGCTATCGACTCTACACTCTATAAAGAAAGTTGAATGTTCCATTGAAATGAAACAATTTTAGACAGTCTATTTCGCGTAAATGTAACAACATCGTAATTTTGTATCTTTTGCTCATCAGCACTCGCTGTTAAAAGAACAAAGTAATTTAGACCATCCGAAGTCGTGTATTGTAAAAAAAGAATTACGATTCAATTAAGAGGTCTGTGTAGATCTATTACAAACGCTGCTAATTAAAATTCAAACACACAGGTTTTATACGTATTTTATATATCATCAGTACTATAGACAGAGCACCGATAAAATTCTTTGTTATATGACCGACATACATCGCATGGATTCATAGAACAGAGAGAGAAAAAAAAAACAAAAACATCGCCAATCAGAGCTCTATTGTTTTGTTTTGGGTCATAATTAAATGTTGGATTCCGTGGGAACTACATTGTTTGGTTTCGACGAGTTGTTTTTTCCCCATTCACAACAATTGTTTGTTGTGTGTGCGCTTTCGTTAAATCAGTTGTGTTTTGTTCGTGGCATGACCTACGTCAGCCGCCGCGAGTATTAACGCCCGGTGTGGAACGAAAAATGTCCGGCACACCCCCTATGTGAGTGTGGTCCAAGTTACAAGATGACGCCAGAATTCATACTACTGACACAAGAGAGGTGTTTTGATGAGAATAATTAATAAGTAAATTTCGAACCTTGTTCGACGTTTCTATTAATTGATTGCTATTAACTATTGTATACTGATATTATAAAATTTTCTACCTTTGTTCGTAAGGGGTAGGTATTTTCTAAAATACTGATCCGATCGTGAAATTCTTCTTTTTCACCTATGAGAAGCAATGCTTAGGTTATAAAACAGCTCATTTGTCATATGTTTCTTAAAGCTAGTGATTTAAGCCTCGATCACGTGTTCAAAGGAAATAGGATTCTTTCGCAATTAAATGTAGTTTATGTCATTGTACACAAAAATTATAACGACGCTCCGTTGCGATGTAAAAAGAAAAATAAAGATAATTTCTTGTTTATGCATTTAGTATAACATTATAAGTTTTATCGATATAGTATCGACTTAGGTGGGGCAAAAAAATGCTCATAAAAACAAAATTAAAATTAAATTATAACGTAAAAATTTAACTTATTATTGACTGTTTTTCTGATGGTTACTTACCTTAATCATTATTAAAATAGGACAATTATCTTTTGACTTGTACCAAAATGAGCTGTCGCTACCCTCTGTAATGTTCAAGCCCAGATTATGACGACTTTATCAAAGACAAAGAAAATCTTGGAAAACTCTATTTCCATGCCACTTTTTTCGTAGTACATCAATTATAAAACAATTTAACTTTTAAATATAGGACAATATTTTCCTTATTCATAATTTTGATAAAGAATTGGATATAAATAGCTTCGATAATAAACTTAGTTTAATTAAATAAACCACATTAAATATATTAAAGTTGCTGTTGTTGTTGTTCCAAAAAAATATTTATAAATACCAAGGTATTTTTTATTTAAAATCCCTCACTGATAGTTCAGTACTAATAATAAGAAAACATAAAAAAATAATATTACTTACTAGCTAATTGTCGCGACTTCTCTCAAGCAAATTATATCCTATGACACCCGCGTTCGATGTAGCTTCTGGTAAGTGAATGAATGAAACCCGGATCAGTATTTCCGAATCATTTTGGAGGGGGTAACCCTACAAACAAACAAACAAAATTAGAAACTTTACCACTTAAATATACATGTCGGCGCATCCATTGTACCACGATTATTCGATATTGATTCCTAAACGAGAGTGAATTATTATTCACTCTGGCGAAACGTTAATTGGTCGGCCATTATGTCGTGATTGTTTGATTAGAGGTGATATAGGTCGGACGTCATCGACGGAGGGCGTGATCATCGTTACTTTTAATTTTATAAGAATGGTAACACTGACTTTAACAGTTCGTTAACAAAAGAGCAAGTTGCCGCCATTTCGACAGACATTCTGTATCCGATCGTCGAGGAGTAAAGACTTCCGATGACATCACGCTGATCTCGTTATATTTTCGTATGAAAAGTAATAAAATGGAATAAGTCCACATTATTATACACGCCTGCAGTGTTATTTTAAAGATAGTCCTCCGATATGGACGATCTATTTGGGCTTCGTAATAGCCCCCTGAGACTACCCGCCGTCATACACATAAACAACATTATTCTAAAATCCATGTGAATTTTACTTTGTTATTAAACTTTAGTAACGTAACAAATATGTTAATAAAAAAACTCAATAAAGCAATTACATTTTACAAGTAGAGAAGAACATATAAACATTTCCGTTATTTTATTAAATACTATCAATGTCTACTGCATGTTATTTTTTCAGTTCATAATGGCTTGTCGATTTGATTTCAATTCTGTAAAATATTTATCTTTGTAAAATTCATAATTGATTACAGATGACCTTTGGTATTAACTTGATGTGCAGGTTTATGTACACACAAGATTATTTTTCATTTCGTAGATTTGTGTAAGAGTTGCGACCCCAATAGAGTTTCAGTCCCGTGTGTGTCAACGATGTATGATTCAAGCCCGTTTGATTTGGTCTAAGATAAAAGCGATAGCGGGCAAAATAAATAAATAGGTATTTATGGGAATTGAAATACGATTTCTATTTTTTTAAGTTGTAGTTTAGTAGGAGAATCGCCAAGACGTTTTTCGTTAAGTGTTATCTGTTCCAGTTTTTCTTCCGTTTAAAAAGTCGATGATTCAAAGGAAACGAATAGGTTTTGTAGTTAAACTGAAGTTATAGATCGATTTCAACTTTAATTGAAGGGGAAATTTTATAAGACCATAATTATACTTAATTATTTTGCATTCATTGGAGTAGTTGAGCAGAAGGTTTAAAGACCTTTGCATGTGATTAAAATACACATATTAAGAAGATGAATATGTGATCTAAAGAATAGACAAAATCAATAGCATATTAGAAGAATTCCAAAAGTAGAGACAGAAAAATTTGGAAGTAATAGATTATTACGGTATGGTCATGTGAGGAGTAGAGATGATTTGCATCTGAAAAAGCATTTTGAGCATGAATTTGGAAGGAGTAAAAGAAGACAGCCAAGGAAAATGTGGTAAAAACGATATGTGTAAGAAATTAGCGAACTTTTAGATGACGGCTGATCGTTAAGTACGGAAGTGGAATATATATTGCTCCGACCCCAAGTAAATGATTTTGATGAGGGTTAACAATCGAAAGAAGCTAGTTTACAAATTTTGATAGGTTCTTCCGTCCTGTGTATGTAAGGTATATTCAGCAACAAACCACATTGCACTTACGTAGTACCTGTAGAAAGAAGACGAACTAAACACCAATGGAGATAGGCTGATGACGATGAGTATCGAGTATATCCTTAATATTACGTTTTGCATATAAGTTTGCTAAACTTTTAACTTAGACCAAAGATCATACTTGACAAGGGTTTCTACCCTTTTGTTTTACATGGTTTTTTGCATCACCCCGTCGTTGTTTTGGCGGCGCGGTGGATTTGAGGGCACCAACAATTTTCTCGCATTGTTAATACACACAATGGACTTGAAAGTGCTACTAGTATAGAAGAACAAGCCTCTTTTCAGTTCACGCGACAGATGATACATTTTTTTCCGTTGGAGAATTCGTATTGTTTTATTTTCTATTTCACCACCTAGCAATAATCGTTCTGTAGTAGGTGAATCCAGAAATAGAACAGTAGCAACGGACAGACGTTGTTAATAAAAAGAATCAAGTCTCACCGCCTAACTGTGGATAAATTTGGGATAAATGACTAACGGTTAGTTGCACAAACATCCATTAAGGTTTAATGACGTCTTTAAGCTCTAATAAATATCAAATTTGTATGGGTAATGTCTCTTTAAACTAATGAAAAATTTTATGTATGTTTGTGCAACTGGCTGTAAGATGCTAACACTGCTATCAAATAATTGGCATTCATTATCATTCGCTCGTCGTTACTAAAGTGGATCTTAAAGTTATAAAATGTAACGAAATATCGCCATAGCATCGATAAGATGTCGTATCCTGTCGCTAGAAGAATCATGGCTAGAGAATTCATCATCATCATTTAATGTTGGTCATTGCTGTCGCATAGGACTTCCTTAGGAATAGGACGACATGAGAAACAGGCTCTCAACCCATCTACGGGTCCAGTACCACCTATTACTGAATTGCCGCATGCATTGGAGCTCGTTAGTGCATTGGTTAGCGCGTTCGGTCTGCGATGCGGAAGTCAATTTCGCAAAGGCCGTTCATATGATGGAGGGCCAAAAATTTACTAACTCTAACTGCTTCCGTACTTCGGAAGGCACGTTTAATTCTTTAGCGCCGGCTGCATTTGCAGACGTTAACACCCACCAACCAGCTCTGGTACTGCGTGGTGGGTCATAGCCTACGCCCCTTGTTAGATTCGATTTACCCAGCAGTCGATATCCCGGATATTGAAAAGCTTATCAATTCATATCTTCCAATTTGAGTGTATGTTTTAGATGCATGAAAAGAGAGTGCTGCGTTATAATGTCATTTCGTAACTTTAGGCTTATATTTTTCTATTTTACTGAAAGCACTTTAGACTCGACGACACGCGACGCTACGACAACTTCACAGCTGACGTACTATAATGAAAGTTTCTCACTACTGTTCTTTCAAGTTACTGTACTAATTAATTTAATTATAAGTTAACATGATAAGAGGAGACCAAAAAGATTCCGTTCTTTAGTAGGTTATATTATATAAGAAAAATACACCTTGCTTTAAATCTTATATTATGTATAAATATTATCTAACCTATTATGTGTAACAAGGTTCCTATCTAGGTTAATTCTAAATGTTTATTATAACTTATAGCCTATCTGTATTAATAGTTTTATCTGACAGCATTATTCTTTAACTTTGGTAAATTGAGGAAACTAACAATTATTATGTAAGTACGAGTAAATAATTTCTTCACTCTCTTACCTTACTTCAAGCAAGGGTTATACAATAATAAGACTTATGTTATGCCAATTATGAATCAATATAATACAAGTATTCCTTACAGGGTATGGCGCCTTGTTGGTCGGTTTTGATTTATATAACTTAATAAAAATATAAGAAAGGAGGTTAATCCTTCTTTTTTTAAATAAATAAAAGTAAATCAATTATAAGATCCTTATAAGGAAGTCTAGAGATAATATGTAGAGTATATCTGCTTAGCTATAGGAAACTAGTCTTGTACCGGAGGGATGCCCGTGGTTTATAAACTATATCGAATGGGATAATTCTCAACCATCCTTAGTAAAACACAAGATACGGGTGTAGACACTCCAACCTAGCTGTGGTCTTCAGGAGGTCAAACTGTAATTTGGGAGAAACAAAATAGGGTAAACACAAAATCATAAGCAAGGTTATAAATATTGAAATTGGGGAGGCCAAGGACAAACAACTACTACTAACAAGAGATATATTATCACAGTGATGATTATATCCAAAATTTATGATTAAAAAACTCAAATTTCCTTTAATTTTATTCCTATTCCATGAAACTAACCACGAACTAACTCCATTCCGCTTACATTACTAACACATAACTCTAAGCAACATTCCTCATTGGAAAATTTCATAAGATGATGATGAATATAAAACAAGAGATACCATATTTTATAATGTCTGACCAAAAAGCAATACTGAACTAGATAATCCAACCGTAGACCACAACCAAACAACAATCGAAATCGAAAATCATCACTGCAAGCCCAAATCGAACGGCGACCAAAACATAACTCAATGTTCTCAGTACTAGCGTGGAATTTATTCATGCGACCCAATGTGTGCTAACCAACCTCAATCAACGCAAGGCTCTATACTATAATCAATAATATCCCTTTCCCGTTTAAAAATTAATATTAGTCTATTTTCTATAGTGCCAATATTAACCAGAGAACGAAAACATCTGTAAAAACAACAAGAAGCGACATTGCAGTACGCGCAGTAAATAGGAAAAGATTATGTGGTCAAAAATTTGCACTGTATTGATTAATCAAAGTTCTTCAAATAAATTTTATTAAGTTTTTATGAAATATTGCTCAGCTCAATTTTTTTTTTATTTCACTATTATTATAGAAACAGACAATTTGTGTTCAATGCAAATTATTTAGGCCTTATTTCTTCTGTTTGTTATAGAATCTTAATATACTCTTGTTTTTACAGGTCGGCCGACCGCTCGAGTGTCTTGGTGGAAGTCGCATTCGCTTCTTGCTAACTCTGAAGCCAGAGCTACCGTCTCGTTTAGGTTGCAGAGATCCGATTACGGAACAGACATCACATGTCAGGTAAATCAAAAGAAACTAATATAGATCCACGAACTTCCTATAAACTTCTGATATCCTAGTACTTTTTGTTAGAATTTTATAATAATTGTCAATCGATAAATAATAATAAACCTATTTGGTTTCGTTACCCTGGTACTTTTTCTGCACTAGCGATTTTTCGCCTCCTACCTCTACAGTTGGGTCATTAAGAAGTCATATTTGACATCTCATCACCAGCCCTTTTACGTCCCCACTACAGGGGCTCAGGCCTTCGTTATGGATGGTTAAAGAGGATAGGCCATGACCCTCCACACTGGCCCAATGCGGATTGGAGGGTATTAACGACTGCAAATGCAGCTGGGACCAACGGCTTAACGTGCCTTCCGAAGCACGGAGTAGCTCGAGATAATTTTATTTTTTTTTGGACACCCATCCCGTAACCGACCCTTGCGAAAGTTGCTTAACGACAACGTTCGCGGGCCGCGGCGCTTATCCACTACGGCACCGAGCTACTTATCCTTATATCTATATATTTGACATCTATCAACCTAAAATTGAGTTGTAGGTACCTACTTAAAATTAATACAAAATAAAATGTAAAACCGATACGACCTACAAACTTTCAAGCAGAGTATATTCGTCCCTCAAAGATCGGCAGCGCGCTTGTAGCTCCTCTGGTGTTGCAGGTGTCCATGGGTGGCGGTAATCACTCACCATCAGGTGATCCGTCTGCTCGTCTGCCCCCTGTCACATAAAAAAAAATATATTAATATAAGGAATCGAAATGGTTTAAAAAAAAGTAATTCGAATGCAGTTATTGCGCAAATATAATATTTGCTGTTCTTGTTTCGATATTGTAACAAGAACAACAGAAGAAAATCACAAATATCGAATGATAATCACATGATTTATGTAAATGTCATTACTTATGATAAAGAGCTGGTAAGCTTTTTTCACTTGTTCATCTTGTCAGCTAAAAGACGTCCTGAACAAGTGGTATTTTTTGGACGAATCAAAAGTGCTTGAATCAAGCTGACTTAAATAAAGATATTTTCATTTTGTTTCGTTTCGTTTCATTTCATTTCAAATATTGTCTATTCGTACACTCCATATTACGATTATTTTTAACTGCTGCATAATTCTACCGGCTACCGAGTGTCTTACCTGTTTAACAATATCCCCCTATAAAAATACCTAAATGTCTTTTGTAAATTTATAATTTTAATGTCATTTAAATAATGTTTTAGTAATTGAATTCCCAATGAGGTTATTCGTTTATGCCTTTATAAGTAATTATATAATCAACAACCGAGTAGACCATGCTTTTCGATATTTTTGAAAACATTCCTAGTGTTTAAAAAGGCAACGGGTCAATAGACATAATTTTGTAGCGGCGTTTAGTATATTTAGATTTTTTTTTCATGGGTAAACAAACGGTGATACAATTCACATTGATATTACATAATTAAACAGATGAGATATAATTGTACACCAACACCGTTCACCACATCATGATCAAAACAAACTAGCTTTAAGGTCGCACATTAAGTTTTCTAAATCCATTGGAGAGCTTCTAACTAGAATTAAAAATCTGACAATTTGACAGAATAATTGACATTACTTTGCAAAGGCACAAAACACATGTTTATTAAACTATGTATTTATAAGGTACAAACAACAGAGAACCAAAGAAAAAATAGATATAAAAAATTATACTTTTTTTGACAATACATTCATTCGTATTCTATCCATCTATCTGCTATCTATATTGACCTTCAATATTACAGAAAATTACTTATATATATTATTTGGGCATGGTATGTAGTACTTGTCTTTTGAAATTACTAGGGCTACTTGCTAATATGTCAATATTATTGAAATGAGAATTAAAGCTGTTAACTAATTGATACAGTGGAGATCTCTTACCAGCATCTGTTCATCTTCAATTTATTTATTATATTTTGAAAGCTTCATTAATCAAAGTAAAACGTTAACTTGTCTTATTTTTCTCTTATGACAGTAAATATATTTTAATAATCGAAAGACATAAGCAATTGTTCCATTTTTGGCTGCCTTTCCATTTTTTTATTTTCTTCGCTTTTTACGTCGCTGAATAAATTTCCTTTTTTTTTTCTTTTTCCTTTCTTATGTTGGATATATATAATTGGTTCTGATATATAATACACATTGCACACCATTTATAAATGATTATTATATTATTTAATTCAATATAAAGTTATTAATGTCCAGACTGGTGGGAGCTAGGTCTTACGTATTGATTGAATCAAATCAAATAGGGAGAATGGGTCATGACCCATCGCGCGCGGATTTATGTTAACAACTGCTGATTCAGCTGGGACCAGCGGCTTAACGTGCCTTCCGAAGCACGGAGGAGCTCGAGATAATAAAATTTTGGTCACCCATTCCGTGACCGACCTTGGCGATAGTTGCTTAACAAATTATCGCAGACAAAACTCGCCAACGCCAACCAATGTGCTATCAGGCTTCTCCACCGCCAATATAAAGTGCAATCTATACTATAATAAAACAATAAAATTGGTGTGTCTCTACATTAAATATATTTCCTTAAATTAATTCAGGGCGATACTAAAACACAAACAGAATACAGCTGAATTGTTTTTAAAACTTTTGTTTATCTGTTTCGCTCAAAGATCGAAAACGCTCAGTGAGCGGAAAAATAGCTCACAACGCGTTGTGGTCACAGTAAAACATCCACATGGCGAAATTCGTGTTATGGCTCTAATGAAAACGCGCACGACGCGTTGTGGCAATCACAGAAAGACCAAATAGCGAAATTCGTGTCGTGGCTGACATGCTATTCGATCTCAACGCGTTGTGGCAATGAAGAAAAGCCATGATGCGTTCTGAGCATTCATTGTTTTAACCATATCACGACGGACAGGTTGTAACTTGTCGATGTCGGCGCTGTAAAGACGCATAATAACATCAGTTTTATTCATTTCTTTTCTGTTTCTCAGAGTGAATTTTAATGTCAGCGCTAATTATGACGAATAAAAAAGAAGTGTTTTACGATAAATTGCGTGAGTTTGTGGAAACAAGCACTGATCGCAGTTTTATCATGACTACAGAAAAATATGAAATGTTACTTAATGAAACAAAACAGTCTCAGCTTCTTAAAAAGAACAACGAGTCTCTATGTTCGAAGCAGTATCGACGTCTTAAACGATATGATGTCTTAAAGATTGGTGATACTGAAAAGTTGGTTGAAGCTGGAATAGAAAGCTCAAGTTCAAAAATTCGATATTTCTGCAAAACAGATGAACTGTTTGATATTTTGGAAAAAGCACATACTAACGTCGGTCACAAACGGACTAGAGGTAGGTTATTTTCAGATAGATCAGAACTATGATTTTAACCTTTGGGAAAAAGGCGTGATATATGTATGTATGTATGATTTTAAGGATACCTATACACAGAGAAAAATCCTAAAGTAGATTATTTTTGTTACAGTTATGGAAGCTGAATTGAAAAAACAATACTGTAATGTTACACGAACTATTATAAACTTATATTTAAGTTTATGTGAACAATGCCAATTAAAAAAAAAGATACCAAAACGCGGTTTAGTAGTGAAACCTATTTTATCCGACTGCATGAATTCTAGATGTCAAGTTGATTTGATCGATATGCAGTCTGAACCAGATAAAGATTATAAATTTATTGTGAATTATCAAGATCACTTGACTAAATTTACTATTCTAAGACCAATCAAAACGAAGACTGCTGAAGAAGTAGCATATCAACTTTTAGATATATTTTGTTTGTTCGGCGCTCCATGTATACTGCAAAGCGACAACGGTCGTGAATTTTCAAATAAGGTCATAAAAAATTTAGCTGAAATGTGGCCAGGGATGAAACTTGTTCATGGAAAACCTCGACATTCTCAAAGTCAAGGTTCGGTAGAGAGGTCGAATCAAGACGTTCGTGACATGTTAATAACTTGGATGGCTGATAATAATTCACAAAATTGGTCAGAAGGATTGCGATTTATTCAGAGTAAAAAAAATCGTGCTCTTCATCATGCGCTTAAGAGAAGTCCTTACGAAGCTATGTTTGGATCAGCACAAAAAATAGGTCTTGCTGATTCATCTATTCCTGGTGATGTGTATGCTTCCATAGAAACTGAAGAAGAGTTACAAGATTTGGTTCTATCTTCCATTAAAAATGATGTTCAAAACAACGAGAAAAATATAGAAAATGATGAACAGTTAAACAAATTACAGAATTTAAACGTGAAAGTTATTACTGACGTTATAGAAGAATCAAGAAACACGGGCAATGATGAAAAAATACAGGAATCAGCCAATGCAAATATTGATTTAGGAAAAGCTGAAAGTTTGAAGTTATGTGCTGTTTGTAAAAATGAGACGTCAGGAGCTCACAAGTGCTTAGACTGTCATGAATGTACACGTTATCTGTGGAGAAAGCAATGAGAATGAAGGATTTGGAGCAAATGTAACTTGTAAGCTCTGTTTCAGAAAGTACAGAATAAATGTTGAAAGAGAATGTGCTAAATCAGGTCTACAGGAACAGGCAAACAAAATGGTTTCACTGTCTAATTCAAAATTTCCCTGTGTTGAAATTGGTTCTAACGTTTTAGTTAGAGTTCCTGAAGTTGATAGAGGACGAGCAGCACCCAGGAATGTTATGTGTGTTGTTACGAGCATTAATCCATCAGGTCTCTACCAGTTAGGAAACAAAGAAGGTACATTTGATAGACTTTATGCACGTAATGAGTTTACACTTTCTGAAACCAACTTTATTAATATTTGTGATGTGCCCTCAACTTCGTCGTTAACACTCCGCTCAGCATCTATGTTATCATCTGGAAGTAAGCAAGGGTTTATAATGTGCCACTGCAAAAGATACTGTATTGATAAAAAGTGCAAGTGTCGCTCCAAGAATATAAAATGCAACTCCAAATGCCACAGTAATAGTTCCTGTAAAAATAAATAGCAATCAAAAACTTATTTTAAGTACATTATTGTTGTTTATTGGTGGACAATAAACATTTATGTTTGTGTTAAATATTTTTATTACTTGAAAGAATTTAAATTGTCATAAAAAAATTAAAATCCCTAATTATTTTAAGTGAATTGTAAGAAATTTACAAATGATTAACATTTTGTGTTCAGTAATTTATTACTTAATATTAATACGTTGATTTTTTTAAATATAAAGTAATCTCAATAAACAACAAATATCGTTTTATTTTAATTTATATAATATATTTCATAATAACAAACACGTTATGCAGTGATTTTATAAAATAAAAAATATTTCCTAAGGACATCTACCAAAACGTTTTCAGCCTAGACCTAGTAGGATCCATATCGGAAAGTAGTGTGCGTCGTAATCAAATAATATTCCATACGCGTGATGGCTTTTCTTCATTGCCACAACGCGTTGAGATCGAATAGCATGTCAGCCACGACACGAATTTCGCTATTTGGTCTTTCTGTGATTGCCACAATGCGTCGTGCGCGTTTTCATTAGAGCCATAACACGAATTTCGCCATGTGGATGTTTTACTGTGACCACAACGCGTTGTGAGCTATTTTTCCGCTCACTGAGCGTTTTCGATCTTTGGTATGTACGCGCGTTAATCTCTAAAACTACTGAATGGATTTTAATAAATCTTTTATTTTTATTTTGAAGCAATTAATCCTGGGCACCGTATATGCTTTAATTCATTTTGGTGGCGGGTTTCTAT